AAGCGCGATACACTCGACGATGATACCGCGTTCCCAGAAAAGTTTCCCACTGCGCGAGTTTATATCATTTTCTTGATTCTCCGGAAGGAGCGTCGTAAAGAACAAGCAGCCAAAGCGAGACAGATACTAGCAGCGGCGCGTGAAGAAGAGAGAAACGTGATGAAAAAAGTGGACGGAGAATTGCCTGAGATTCTAAACTTCGTCCAAGGGAGAAGATAAAAACATGGATACAGTTACAGGATTGTTCCTTAACGTAACGAATTAGTAGTGACCGAGTGAAAAACGTGGAAGAAAATCAGAAAGAGAGAAAGAGAGAGATGTACGAAAGGTAGAAGCAAAGGAAATACTCGCTTCGAAATGTTCAAAAAGTGGCGATTTGTTGGGGAGAAGTTCGTCCAATTATGTCAAATCCTCAGACGCCAGCAGCGAACAAACATAACGTAAATTCGCCTGCGTCTTTTACGCGGGACAAAAGTTCTTTGGGAATTCCACGAACCCTTCTATACCGTGGCTTGCAACAGGTAAGTCGGCGGTTAGATGGGTCTTCCTCTCTTGCGGTATGCATAATGGATGGATAGATCGAGGGGTGGCACAGGGTGGTACGGAGAAAGCGAATCGATAGACGCGACGAGGTTACCGCGCGAGCGACTAGGAGAGAAACCTCGTGAAGGGAAGAAAGAAAGGAACGATGATTTTCGATAATTCCCGATGGGTAAACGAGTCAGTCGAAGGAGGATAATTCATCACGAACTTGCTGAGGACGAGTAAACTTGTCGGACAGAGGATCGAACAGAATTTTTTGGAGAATATTTATGGGAAAAATAGGAAAATCTCTTTTACGTTGGAACTGTGAATGAAAGCATTGATCAGAGCAGAGATAGAAGGTGCTCGAAAATATCTTTCCTGATAAGGTGAGTGATAATATATAATAGTACAGTCTCGGTCGTTGAACCATTTACAACATGAGTGATTCTCATGAGAAGAATTATCATTCAAGTTTCACGTAGTAATATATCGGGAAACGTCTACGCAATAAACGTGAAACGTATTCATGAATTATAAATAATAAATTGGCACCTTTATTATTGGAAATGTAAAAGAAACCTCGTTATTCAGCACAGAGGGCGTTGTAATAAAGCAGTAATGACTCTTTTACAGTTGGAGAAGTCTCACAGATTTAAAGATCATATTTTTTTAATAGAATCGTACATTTTTATTCATTAATCGATCACATCTCGACATTTTCTATAAAAAAAAGGATATTAATCTACCGATGTCGAGAAATTATTAAATTAATATTTTAATAAAATAATAATAATAGTAATAAAAAGACTAAAAGTATCAACGGTGAGAACGACAGTAATAAAAAGGAAAGCAAATTCTCGACGCTACTACTAACAATAGTACCAAATTCAAGCGTAATTCCACTACAATATAAAACAATATAATATGTTTCTACGCTTCGTTCTCGTCATTTGTCACAGCTCAAGCGTAAACACGTACTAAGGATGCAGAAAACCGATACAGAGCGGGCAAAGTGATCTTTCTGACACTTGCTCTGGCAGCCACGTGACTTCGAATTCGATCAATCACCGGCCAATCAGACGTTTATTATCGGGAATTAATTGACAATTGACCGAACATTATGGGGACGAGCACGCGATTTCGTGCAACGAAATTCGGCACCGATGGCACGGCACACACGGTGGCCGGATGACCCCCGATCGTAACACGCGACTTATTACGTGCCCCGTGGCCATTAGCCGTGTCGTTTAAATTGCAAAACAGCGCTCCAATAAGAGACAACAAAGTTTCACAGCACGATGCCGTGCTGTCGGCAACTTTACTCGAATCTAAATGTTACCAATTACGCCGGGGCGAAACTTTTAACGGTGACTAGCCGATACCCTTTCAAGGTTTACACGAGCATGGTAAAACGGTAATTACGCTGTACATCGCGTTAACGATGCTCTCCGCTAAGAATCGTAACAGTCGCCGATCGTCACGGATATTTAGCGATAGCATCGAGTTCAGCTCGTGTGCTCTCGCAAGAAATCGCAAGTCGAATCGGTTGATGATTCATTTTCTTATCTCTTCTCGATTGAAAGTGATTGTCTTTGAAGGAATTCGTTGCCAATATCGCTTTTTACAAACAAACGTCTAATCATTCGTATCTTTTTTCAGATATCGTACTTTCATCGAGAAAAGAGAGGAGATTGAAATAAAACGGCTAAAATATTATTTAAAGCAAATAATAACAAATATCGTTTCGTAGAATTCGATTGCAAATCAAAGATGACGCGTGTTATTCTCTTGAATGTTTAAAGTAGATAGACAAATAGGGAGGAAGTTGAACAACAAGAACTATGAATTAATCGAGCACGTCAACAGCACACCGAGATTCTCTAAACTCTCGACAAACTACGAAGACATCGTTAATCGTTGTCGTTATAAATGGGACGCAGTCGGTGCACTTACAAAAAAAAAATAGAAGAAACTCGTCACTTTATTAATTAACTCGCGAATCACGATAAAACATATCCGAGTATTAATTTGTAAATTTTCCGAGCAATTTTCCCGCGTATCGTTCCAGCGATGTTCAATAGCAACCGGAATTCGATTAATTCCGCATTCTGCAGTCCCGAACCGTATCGACCTACGAGTAGATACGGTTCGGGACAGCAGAAGCTCCATGGTCAATGGACGATATTATTTCGATATTCATTGAACGTGCGTCGTTCGATTAGAGGAAAGAAAGGTAATACGGGAGCGCGCCAATTTTAAATTTCTCCTTAAAGTCTGGTACGTAACGTAAATTAGTTGAAACGAGTTTACCTAAAATTATGCTTGAAATATAGAGGCACAAGGATAACAATTCTGTTGAATTTAACCGAAATTCGTACATTAATGAATCGTGTTAGAAACTTGGACAAAAGTGAGAATGGTACGGCCCCTTAAACAGAAATAATAAATTGGTAATATCAGAGATCGGAAGTGAATAAAGAAATTAAATTCTATTATTTACAAGCGAAAATCTGCCGTAATTTTTCGTAAAATTCGCCCCCATTACGCATTATAACAATTCATACGCGAAACATTTAATCCATACGCCGTTACGTTGGTCTGTAAAATACGTCCGTTATAAAATATGTATGTATATTAGGTCGGTATTATGAAAAGCTCCATGAGGAATCTCCGTGTCTGAAATATCAGAGAATGAGTTTTGAAGCTCACATTGAACAATTTAGTTCCGGTTCGGAGCTCTTACTTCCCGGGATCGTGTTACTCGCCATTACGCCGGGCCAATATATCAGCGTAGCTTTGAAAACTTTGAGTTTATATTTAAAAATATCAAAGATCAAACGATCTTGCTTGTAAGCTTTTTTTTATTGTAAATAGAAAAATCACAACGAAATTAATGAATCACAACGAGAATAGTAACGGGAGCACGTGTATCCAGGTTTTTCTATTGGCGAGTGTCGCAAAATAGCGCGAATTCCGACGCGCAAAATTAGAAATTTCACTCGCACCGATACACAACAAAGGTCGCCGGAAATTCCGCGTCGATTGCACGCAAATGAATGGGTTAATTCAATAATAAATCAGCGTGATCGGTTGTTCAACAACGCGTGAATTTCATTATTAACCTTAGCGCGATCATCGTTGTAACATTAACAATCTATAAAATACGCCTTTTAAATTTAAAAAAACTCGCAGCTCCTGCGAGATCTGATCGTAGAAAAAAGTGCAATTTTTTTGGAGGGGGAGGAGGGGAGATTTTCTTTGAAACGATGCAAGGACAACCGGGACCATTTCGTCGAATGTACGAGACCGATGATGACAATTTACCGGTCACACAGATTCAGATAGCGCGTAATTGAGCCTCGCACTGTCGCGTCGCGCTATCGTTCTCTAAACGCATTCCATGAACGACAGCCAGAGCAGATTTCGCGACCACGTTTGCGTTATGAAACTGGCAATGCGACCATCGCGTTAGCGACCACATTGCACCCCCTGGAATTTCGCTACTAGCGAGTCATTGCCGCTTTCTCGAGTGGTGTCGTGTTGCTCATTCGTCGTCGGATTAATTTGTTCAATGTCGAATAGAAATTGCGCTATTTCTCATAATTTTATTTATAGTGTATTTCTCTTTTTCTCTTTTTTCTTCCTTTTTTCTTTTGTGAAAAAATAAACTTGAGTGAAAAACGCCTGTTTCGAGTTGAACACGGCAGAATTGCTGTCGGTCAAGACGCGGGCTAATCGTCGTTAATTCGCCAGTTGCGTTTAATGGTACGATCGAGCACGGCGTCTAAAATCACGAAACTCAGAGAGAAATGGGAAATTACGTTAAACAACGTGAGTAAAGGAAAAGAGCTTCATCGAGAAAATGAAGTTTCAATGGTATTTTAATCCGCTAGCAAAGACATAACATATGATGGGTTAATTGTATTGTTAATTCTTCGTGAAATGAAAGTTAGAAAATATTAATTTTGTCGAGGAAAGTAAATTAAGTTTCAGTGTTGTTTTAGCCCACTAGTAAAGGAACAGCGTTTAATAAATTTCGCGAGATCAATCTTTATATCTTGATTGGATGTATCTAAAAATGACAGTCAAGATGACTTTTTACACTCGTTCCAAGTATGACGTTGACCAAACGTAAACCAATTGATTAACATTGTTTTCGACGTTATTAATTATTGCGACTCGATAATTCTATAATTCTATTTATCATTGGTAAACTTGGTCATAAAATAGAAAATTTACAACAGATTATTTTGGAACAAATAAAACCAACCATAAGGCTCTAAATAAAGGAATGAAATTATGTGAGAAGACCAACCGACGAAAATACTTAAGACAAGAGTTTAAAAAAATTCCTTCAAGCACAACTTTGAGAAGAAAAATATTTGAGATAAAAATAAAGAATCTCGATTATAACCTCTGTTATAACGTATGTAACATATGTATAGAATTTGAATCGACAGGTGAAACAAATTCCATTCTTCCTATCTCTCGTGGAATCGCAAGTATCACGAGATACCCTGTATCTACCTTGCCTCGCAGGCAATCGATTAAAACCATTTCTGTAACAAAAATATTCGCCAGATAACCGGCGTCGAGTCGATACCTGTTTAATTAAATTCCCCGGCACACGTCGAGCAGCAACATTCGTTTTGGAAAAGCGGCGGCAGTGGCGACGCTGCCGCGAGAAAAGGATTGGCCCTCTTTCTTCGAGCAGCGTGTCGTGGGGTTGGATGGGAGGGGGGGGGGGCGCAATGCATCAGCGGTTAATGAGCAAACTTTAATATTCTCCCTCGACTAAAACTCGACCCGCTGCCACCTATCTTCCAACGACCACGAAGCAACCCCTCGTAGAGAGATTTGGAACACTGCAGGGAGTGGAAAGGGGGAGGGAAACGCGATCGTACGACCATAATTATTGTGAGCCTGACGAACGAAGGAGGAAGCAGTAGGACGGGATAGTTACAGCCACCTGGCTGGGCTGGATTCTCCTTTGCGTCAAAGTCTACCGTTTTCATTAATCCGGCAGACGTCTAATTAACGCGGGTCCCATATACCAAAAACCTTGGCGGTGGCCTCGATCACCCCTTGCGGGATTAATCGAGGAAGATGGACGCGTTCTTAGATCAACGCGAACCTCGGGCAAAGTTTCTATCGCGGCTGGGCGATTTTGACTTTAAAGAAACTTGAAAGAACGGATCTTTGGTATATAGATCTATACATCTATCTAGAGCTTGCCGTCTGTGCGCAGAAAGCAAATTGAAGACACGTAGAAAGGGAAGGGAACGTGAAACAGAAGAAAAGTGGCGAAAGTAAGAGAAAGTTAGAAACCGAAGAATTAACGAAGTAATCTGAGACTCGGAGGAAAATATCGTTCGTCCGGGGGGACTCTGTAAAACTGCTGAAATCGCCAGCCGACGTGAACGTTACGGATGGAACGAGCAACGAAAAATCTCGTCGATAGGGAAAATACACCGGGGCACGTTTCGTTCGCAATGGCTGGTACAGTTTCAAGATGTATGCGTGATACGGGCTAGTCTGGCAAAGGGTGGGACCAGAGGGTGGAACTGTCCCCGATGGTTCGTAAAGCGGGTGTTAAGCCCGAATATGAAGCTTTTTCGCCGGTATCAGCAGGAAATTCTGCAGTGCGGCGGCCAAGAATGTGCTAACGACACGCCGGAAAAGAGAAGGTGAAATTGAGGGGGAAGCAAACCGTCGTGGCAAGTTATAACGTTGATTCAGTGCTTGTAATTACGACTGAATGCATAGCTTTTCGATGGCAGCGATGCCGGACTTTCGACATTTCTCTTTTGTCTGCACGAGACTGCCAGGACGTTTGTCCTGGCGATATTTTAGAGAAACGTCAGGCTACGTAACTATTTCTTTCAACAAGGAGGCAGCTTCAATTTTAATAAACCAACGAAAAATGCAATTAAGAGTCATGCACTCTTTCAAACGTGCTATAAATTTATGATCAACCGATTGCGATGCATTTTACGAATATATCAACCGCGTTTATACTTCCACATTTTGAAATTTTATTAACACTGTAATGATTATCAACCATCGAGATTATATCGGTGAACGATTCTGAAAAATACGTATGCAAAAGTTACGAAATTACATTTCAATCTATTACAAGTATATATTATTGGCAGAGATTCTACATGTATTCGTCTAGTCGATTATTTATCAAGACGACCTCTTACAATTTATTTTTCTATCCAAGAAAACTTCACGAAAATTGCTTCGAATGTATAATCTACAGCTACATGTTACGTATATATTCACTCTAACTTCTATTTTTCTCTCTTCTTTTTTTAAATCAAATAAAACACACACAGCCCTGTTTCACTTTGCGCTGCAGGAAGCATCGGTTGTATCTCGAAATGTGGCCGTGCAACGTTGCCTCGTGACAACCAACGTTCGTAATTATTGCTGTCGCCCGTATATTGCGAAAGTGTTTTTCATTTTCTCCGGGACCAAGTATCAATTCAAATTCGAATCATCAATTGGACACCGGGTGAATGATCAAGCGAGGCCAAGCACGTTTAATCACGGATAAATTTCATCGGAATCGGCCGCTCTCTATTATCCTCGAATTAATGACATCGAACGGACAAAGTTTCATTTCCCAAATGTACCGTTCGGATCGTCCGACGGAATTTCAGGAAGCTTGTCTTTCCCTCTACCGGAGAGCGCGAAATACCGCGGCTACAGAACCATCTCGTCCAACCGGCGAATTATTTTGATTAAAATTGCTCCGCGATTGATCGCCCGCCGATTCCGAACGGTAACGAACGGTTTTCTACCGATAATCCCAATTCACCGCGCTACGATTTCACTTAACGAGCCACTTCTCCCGTTTTCTTCTTCGATCTCGCGCCTTCTCTCCGAAGATGCAACCAGTTGACGACAGCATAGGAAAAATGTATTGTAACAACCGAAGAATTCGCAGCAAGAAGAAATCAATTCCATTTTTTACACATTTTTTTCTTCAACAAAGTTGATCGAAGAACGAGTCGAAGAGAAAGAATTTTGTTCGATTAGAAGAAGATTATTCTAGGGAAATAAATGGAAAATACGATTTTTTTCGTAAGACGTTTTGTTTCTTAAAAACATTTAAACATATTCGAAAGATATACTTTATCGAAGCCTCAAATGAAAAAAATTTTATTCCACATTTTTCACTTATTTTTGCATGTAGAATATTCACGTGTCAGTTATAAGTATGATTTGTTCGAAAACGAAGGTTGGTATCTTCTCTTTTCAACTCATGACACTCACAAGTGTTCAAAACAGTGACACCAACGATGAAAATTTATTCACCATCACTAGATTCTAAAGTATTTCTTAGAGAAACAAAAGTTGAGGACACAAAACCTAACACCTTATAGAAATAAAAAGAAATATTTTTTTAACAAAGTTTGACAATTCACTTTCTACTCTCTATGTTTACAAATTATTTTTGTTTAATTTATTTTTTAATAGAACGCATAGAGAGAGACAGGAACACAGTTACAAACATTTATCCTACAATCCACGAGCCAGAGTTCAATTCACACCTCGTCGTGTAAATTTGTTCGCGAAGCTGAATAAGTGCGAACGCTGAAACAGGCTTGTCACGTCTAACCGAATCCCGTCAGCTTACGAGGAACAAGCTGACAGCTACACGTCTATAAGGTTACAATCAACACGAAAAAAGTCTGGAGGAGAGGTGTCTGGTGAGTGAAATCGCTCGCCAACTTTCCTACGGCTGCCTATTCACTCACTGCCGAGCCAATCTTGAAACCATCACAGCTTTGAACGTTGGATCATCGCCAAATCGGCTACCGAACTCGCCAGATTTCGTACAACGATCCAATGGTATTTAGACAAATAATTCTACTAACAAAACCGTGCATAATTAATTACGTGAGAAATAAAACCTTTTAACAAGAATAAAATTTTAATAAAAATTTTTTTGAAAAATAAAATTCTGCTTGGCCAATTAAAATATTCGCGATAATAATCAGATAATAATCTGCTCTTATTATTTCTGTCGATTCACTCTTTTTAGAATAAAATTTTAATAAATTTCATTTGAACGTAACAATTCAAAATTGCAATTTGAAACAATTTAAACGAAATTACAATATAATTCTTGGTCATTGATCATCGTTTGTGTCATTGACGGGGATATTACGCAATATCTCTTTCTGACTTTATGCGAAAATGATTGTTCTCGCTACAGTGATGAATGAAACCTTATCTCGAAATTGGTGGAATGAACCAAAGGACGAAATGTAAAAAAACTGAGTATTTCTCGCACTAATGTGACCTACATTTTAAGAAAATTTTATGTGGAATTCTAGCCTGCGACGTGTAATAGCTTTGAGAAGAACAGCTTACACTTTCTGAACGTGTACTCCTATAATAACGTATAATAACGTGTAACTTGCGATGTATAATCTTACAAAAATTATTGTCCCCTTGATAGTTAATAATTCGACGATTTTACTGCAATTTGTTTCACGTATTCGTTGACGAATGAACGATATTTTAGATGAAAATTTCTTTGGAAAATCTCGTAAATACATAATTCGTTCAAACACGATCTGTTTCACAGATACCCGAGTACGCCCGCTTATCCAAAATACGTATAAATTTCGAACTTCGATATTAACAATTATTTATGTAAATGTTTATCCTCCGAAACGATGAATCGACGCGAGAGTGTCCATCGAACGGGGATCCGGGGATTAATTTCACAGTATTTTCATAAAAACATACAAGAAAAAAAATTATTAAGAGGAACGTGGAAAAAATGTATGAAACCCGGTTTGATATCGAAGATTAATTTCATTCGCGGGAAGAGGAAAGGGAGTCGTATTACTCTGTAATTCACAGTAATTTCAAATCTTGCCAGTTCATCAGACACTGAAATCTTAAATTTCCTCTTAACTATACCGGTATATCGGTGAACCTTGGTTTACTTCTCGTCCTCGCCCGAAGTTCTGCACTTCGTTAACAATTACAAACTCGCCGCAAAGTTATAACTGATAGAGTTCTTGTTTCCGCGCGTAATATTTTTTTCTTTCTTCTTTTTCTCTCTTTCTTTCTTTTTATTTTTTTTTTTTTTTTTTTTTTTTTTTTTTTTGGGGAAAAAAAAAAAAGGGGGGAAATTTAAAAAAAAAAAAAAAAAAAAAAAGAACAGCGGCGTTGGATATCGGCGGATTCTTTTGCTTTCAATTCATTACGGACAATTTCACTCTGCAACGCTTGTTGGAGATGTTTTGTCTTTTTTTCAAAACTTTTTCAAATTCCTTTCCTTCGACAATCCCCGTTCGATCAATCGTCGAAATTGAAAAAATATTTCCAACAGTTTCTCAAAACTCGCGAGTTCGGACACTCCAGTCGGCGATTTCAGGAATTTCAGAAATTCTAAGAACTTGCTGAGGAAGAAAAAGAAGAAGAGGATACTCTTGCGTTCGAACGTTTCTGCAAGTGAATTAAGATTCTGTGACACAGACGTTGCGATATATAATTTTAATCGTCTAAGAGACACGCGTGCCCTGCCACACGTGTGTTAGAAACCTGCATTTGAGCGAGGAAGTAGAGAGCAGATATCCAGTTATTCAGTGACTAGAAGCCGGCTCTTGCACGACATGTCAAGCGAATAACACGTTAGACAAGGTGCATTTAAGACACTACTTACACACTCCATGGCTTTCAAAAGCGGGACAATGCGGCACTTGCTTTATAAAGTACTTGGAGGAGGTGCATTAATTGTTCGCGCCCTGTCAAAGATAGTTTGCTGAACGTCGGCGCGGGTATGGCCGCCTAAAATCGATAAAGACATTTTGCGAATAACATTCAGCCGTGCACTTTCCGCTAATTTTCATATGCACGACGAACGTCTAATTAGGAATTTTACAGTCGACTTGCTGGAAAAAGGAGCTATCTTCGCAAATCGATGAAAGGCAGAATTTTCATTAATTTAACGCAAAATTAATTTCATAATAAGTGAAATTGCGCTTTCGCGTACACGTACATTTCTAGAATTATAATTTTTATGAACACGAATGTTTTTCATGAATTGTTAGATCGAAAATTGCCAATCAATTTCAATTCAATCAGCGAATACCAATTGAAAATTAATTGATCGATATGTTCATAATTCGGTGTCGGGAAATGACGAGACACGTTACTTTTTTTCTGCACGATTGGAAAATCGGAACGAAATCGAATATCTGTCCGACTGATTGAGCATCTGTTGCATCATTGATCCAGCGTCTGTCCTCCGTGCGTTTGTTTAGCAGAGTTCCAAAGAACGATTCACGTGACTCGTCGCTAATTGAAACCACGTGCGTCGATCAAAGATTCAACGAACCAGCGAACAGAACGCAAACATAGACATCTAACGCGCAACAACCCACTGCACGTTGCGTATCGGACCAAATAAATCATCAAATCAACCCGTCGTACGTACCGAAACAATATCAAATCGCTCGGAAAGGAAACTTACCGGCGTTCTAATCGAGAGGAAAGAGAGAGAGAGAGAGAGAGAGAGAGAGACTCGGCTGGAAATGGAGTTGACCGCGATTTAAAAACGGCCGGGATCTCGATACAAAACGGGCGATTCAAGAAAGCGACTTTTTCCGTAGTTTCTTTTTTTTTTCTTTTTTTCTTTTTTTCTCACTGGTCGTCCGAGGTTGCTCTGGATCGATCTGGTGTTGCAGAGCAATTGCACCGTTCATTGCCTAACCGAGCGGACCATCATCCGTCTCCGGTTGTCCATGAGCAAGTTGCGTTTTTCTCCGTGGAGAACACGTCAGTTTGGGCGTGGAGGATGCCCTAAGAAGATGAATGCCGTCATTTTCTGCCACCGTGTGTGTCTTCCTCTCCTTTTTTCTCTCTTTCTTTCTTCTGCCATTTTTCTGTTTGAACTCTGCTAGCCCAAATAGGATAATACTGTCGGTCAGTTTCGAGACTTACGGAATCCTTCACTTTGTTTGCGGATAGAGAGAAAGAGAGAGAGAGAGAGAGAGAGAGAGAGAAACAAATCGGTTTCTGAGATTTCTGAGAGTTCGTACGACCAACACTCGCGTATATATCGAATTGTCAACTGATAAACTAACGCCGAGACAAATAAGGGGCCTGCGAACCTACAAGCAGAGACCGTAGTAAACCAAATTTTTACTTGAACACTGATTAGGTACTCGGCGAGCCCACGTTTTGCGAGAAATAATTAATACTCGATAATGTCGTCGATAACTCGGGTTGTTATTTCTTTCGACGAGTACCGAGATGCGTTGGACGATGTGTGTGGGTGAGTTACGGGCTTGGTAGCGTAGCTGGATGAGTAATGCAACGGCATGAGTCTTGCGGGATAAAAGGTTCTGGAGAGAGTGGAGCTTGGATAGATGACCTTTGGCTCGTTAGAGCGGTGTTTTATTTCGTTGTTATTAGACAGAGTGTTTGAAAATCGCGCGTAAGCTTCGCAAAAATTGGTTAGATCTTCTTCGTGCGAATTTTGGAATTTACCTCTGTTTATAAATATCCGCGATATATCGTTCTTCTCTTCCATTCTAAAAATCTCACTCTTCAAAATTTTCACAGAGTTTGCAAATGTCCCAAAGGTAAATCTCTCGATGGTCTCGAAGCAAATTTTTATTAAAAAAAAAAAAAAAAAAGAAAGGAAAACATCCTTGGAAAGTTCACAGCCAAGCAAAGAGCAAAATTTTCACTCGGTGTTCGCAGCGGGGTGTTCGTTCGTTTGGAAGTTTCCCAAAAATGGCGCGAGTTCGTAGCACGCGCGACGAGACACGTCCTGCCTCGCCAAAGCAGCCGAACTTTCCGCTAGAAAGCGGCGATTTTTAGCCAAATGGACGACACGGGACATTGTCGAAGTTTGAATGGGACAGGCATGAAATTCGCGCACGTTTCGCAAGTTATTAACGCGGATGGGTTTTTCCCTGGGCAGTGTAAGCTCTGAACGCAAGCTCTGAAATTAAGACAGGAATCAGCGTGATGCTTTTCGTTGCATCTTCTTCTGCCTTTCGTTGCGTTCACGCAGGCTTGTGCGAAATTTCATTAACGAGAAACGTTCGCTCGACACTTCCATCAGAAGAGAGAGAGAGAGAGAGAGAGAGAGAGAGAGAAATTATTATTTTAAAATTTTATTTTAGGATCGTTCAGTAAAAAGTTGAATAAGACGGACAAAGGGATGATTCGGCTGAACTTGAACACAATCTTGCGTTATTCCAGATACACAGTTCCATTTGGCGAAAGAGCCATGCAAGAACCGAGTAGCCGAGTAACGAGCGACGCTTGTTTCGTCGGACGGTTCGTGTTCTTTTCAGACATTTTTCCATCTAACAAAGGACTCTGGAACATTTGACCGTCGTGGTGTACCTGTTTTCGGTATCTTCGCGCTGCGTCTACGTTCGTCTTTCGTTCTGGTATCTTTCTGTCTTCTAACGACTCTCTCCCCCTTTCGCTCGAAGTATCTCGTCTCAGATAACGTTTCGGAGCTTTCTCAGACGACGAACTTCTCCGGGAGATAGACACACAAATTTTCCCCCGAATTTATCCGTTTTTCTGCACGGGAAGAAGATAGAAAAGAATGGACGAATGTCTGAAGTTACTTTCATTCTCTTTAACTGCAAGTCACGAGCCGAACATCTCGTTTAATTCTTTGGTTAATTTAAATTGGACATTGCAGGTAATTACCAGCAGCAATTTTCTTCACTCGTCGTAAATGTATAAATTTTTTATCAACCTTCCGCCGCGAAAGTCGAACTTTTTTACTTTTTCTGGTGAAAATTTTACCGTACTATAAATATTCATTTCTCTCTTTCTCTTTTCTTTCTCTTTTTTTTTTTAATTTCAAAAGAAACACAAGGAACGAGCCGATCCATTTAATGAAAAGCACTGGGAACGGAACCGAGAGCTCGGGATATTTGTCGCTCGACGAATTTATCCGCAAATGTTGCAACATTCCAGCTGTAATGGCGCGTACTTTGGAGATCGTTCGCGTTGCTAATGCGCTCGACCTGATATGTAAACCGCGACGTTTGTCACGCGACGCGGCTGATTGCTATCTTCCAGGGTAATGATAGATCTTTCCCCAAGACTCTTTCAATCTTAATGACATCCTTCGCTGTACGAAGGCTATTTCGTGCGGTTAGAATAAACACGGAACGTCTATTTATTTTCAATCGGATTTATCTGTATCCTTTACTTTATCAAAAATGTGTTTACGTACAGGGTTTGTCGAAAGAACGTACGTTTAATTTTTTTTTTTTTTAGTCACATCGATCATTAACGTGTATAAATATTGTTGAGTATATATATATATATATAAAAGAAACTTTTACAAATAGTTAATCTCACTGCCCAATGGCTACGCGCGTGTATTGTTTTCTTAGAAAATGAAACACAATGTAATAAAAAATAATCATCCCTTGATAAACTCTTGCCTTAAGAGGAGCAGAGGATCGTTCAGTCAGACGTTCGTAGTCAACTATATCTACAACTTTATTCCGTAAGAGTATCCGTAATCGAGCATGTCGAAGGGACCAGTGATTTCGCGTTGTCATAAGTATGAACCGCGTTCGAAGATTATAGATATCCGCGAGTAGTATATATGGGTTGCGGAATCTCGTTGAAAGAATCAGGCGGATCAACAATCACGCGTATGTACCTTCCAGTGATTCATACTATTATTCCTTATATATCTTCGCCGCATGTTCCCTTTCACAAATATCCATCTTCTCGCGAGCAGTCGTTAGAAAAATTATTTCACGTAGCATTCAACAGATTTTCTTTCAATCCCTGCTTCGTTCGATCTGTCAGTATCGAGTATCTTGCTTGAGTGAACCGCAGAAAACACTTAAAAAATATTAATATATATATTAATAATATTAATATATCATTATTAATATAAATTGAATAATATAAAATAATCTAAATATTTAATAAATAATAATTAAGTTTAATATAAATATTAAACATTTTAAACCCATCGCAATGTACAGACGAATCACAAAGAATCCAAAAAGGTTAATATTATAATTACGTATGTCAGAGGTGGCTAACTGGCGGTCCTTGCCCCCACTTTCTTGCTTGCTAGCGCTACCCCTTCCACTGCATCGATCTGTCCACTTGGTTAGTAGAGAAACCAACAGACTGAGAAGAAATTTCAACGTGTAGAGAATTTGCAAATTCTCGGAAACTTTAGTTTACTGTTTATTCTTGAAAATTTAATTTCTTATCGCTATCGAGATCACAGAGCTTGGCTAAGACGTGACAAATAGAAATCCTTGTTATAAATGCAAATAAAGACATTTACTATTTATTATGGTCGATGTCTTTCAGTAGCTTGAAATCGCGAACGGTGTGTCGAAATTTGTCAGTAATTCATAATGAAGTACTACATTCATTTATGGTAAATACCAGTGTTTGAGCGAAGCAGTTCGAGGGTGCAAAGATATATATACCAAGATCGATTGCTTCTCTTTCATCCAGCTCTCCAATTTACCAATATCTTCTCCGATTGGCCGGCATAAAACATTAAACATCTTTCAAGAACGGTCGGTCTACGTAGCCTGTATTCCTGTCTTTCGAAATTCTACCATTTCGAGGCGTTCAATGGAACAAGATGAAGAGAAGAGCGAGAGAGAGAGAGAGAAAGAGAGAGAGAGAGAGAGAGAGAGGGAGAGGACGTGGGTAACGGCAGGAGTCGAGGCAGCTGTAGAACAGTGAAATGAGAGCAACCGAAGAGAACGATTCTGGATTGCAGGCTTGCACGAGGCAAGCAGATCTTAGAACGTACTCCACCAACGAGAAGCAATCCGATCTACCGTTCAGCAATCACGCACGCTGTCTCGGACCTAGGCACCATCAACCAGCGGGATAAGTACACGAACCGGGACGCGCCAGGATGAACGGGAATAATTTTCACGTTCTCAGACGAGGCAGCCTTACATTTCGAAGGATCGGAGACGATGACGGACAACCCGGCTCCGTTTCTCCATTCTGCGTGACACGATACTGTTATTTCTGCCTTGGGACGCGATTGGGAGCTTCCACGAAAGTGTCTGTTTTAACTTTTACGAACATGTACGATGTAACGTTACGAGAAATTCCGTTAACGAAGGGGGAACAACGATATATAATATATATTATATTGTAACGATGTAACAAAAGGGAACGCCCGTGCCACGATTGTAATTGGCAAATTTCGAAATTTGCCTGAGAACTTTCTGTGAAAGTTGTAGGGTATTTATTTCGTTTGAAAGTTTCGTGTTTGCCTGCCACCAGGCGAAGTATGACTTTTATCACATATCAGAACAAAATTCTCTAAATTATAAAATTACATCACGTTAAAATGTGTAAAATTAATAAATTTGGCGATCTCGAACTAGATAATGCTTCAGACAAATTGAACCAAATGTAACAGTGACTCTCGCGAGGATCAAGTTCTTGAAGGTTGAAATCTAAGAGTCTAGAGCGGTTTGTTAAATACAGTTACAAACACCCAGTTATTAATAGTTGTCATTTTTCCAAATTCGAAATGATAGACGCGCGTGGTGACGGAGGGGTGACGCAGTTAGTATAATTCCATTGAGAGGAACGGGGAATGTAGGTGAACAGCAAGAAACAGCTCGTGTCGTCGAAGCGCAAGAGGAGGAGGGATCGAGTGGCCGTGGCTTTAAACGGAACCAGTTCTGCCGTGGGACCTTGCGCGTTTTTTCGCCGATACGGCAGACTGGTTCCAGTTTTCAATTACTTTTGCTGTAACCGAACCGCGCCGGCCGGATGCAAATCGTTGCCCGATCATAATTTCCCCCCGGTGTCAAATTGTAGGCTCACAGGATCTTGAGTATCCTGCCAGTATCCTGTCTTTAATCGCGCGCTCGATTCCATCGATAACTCACGACCAACCTCTCGCAATGCGCGATTCTCCACGAGTTGTGCAGTTTCCGATCGAGCCGAGGATAAATTCGAGATTCCCTCGAGTGTGATCATTCAGATTGACTTCACGATCCTACCGATCGCCGCGTGGAACGAAAACGAGCAAAGGGAAAGCTTTCGCGTGGAACGCGTTAACTTGCGTAGTTTTACTAGCGCGTCGAGCATTTTTTGTCCCAAAATTTAGCCATATTTTCTCAATTCTAAGTATAATTGAGTGTAACCCAGGCAAACCAAACAACAAATCTGTTATTGAATTACATCTCAATGATTTCTATCCGGCGATATCGTATCGACGAGTTGAAAAAGAAAGCGGCGAATTGTCGTATACGGGTTTGGTCACTCGTTATGGTCCGCAATCAGTTGCCAGAGCAAGTGGTTAACATCGCCAGCCGTCCGCGTGCCAAAAGAATCGTCGATTGGAAAAAAGAAAGCTGAAAAGACTCGTGAGAGACGTGATTAGCCTTGGACCAGTCACGTCCCGAACGATAACTCGATGCAGTCGACGTTTCTCGAGTAGAGAAGAAGAGAGAGAAAGAGAGAGAACAAATGATTTTTCCTCCTAAATCCGTGTTGCTTCTGGATATTATCGTTCGTAAAAAGTTGTCAGACTTTTGCGAGCTGGGAGCATGCGGAGGTTCTCTTGGAGGCAAGATTTACTCCGCTCGTTCGGTCTCGTTGGGATTCGCGAAAGTAGATAAATAGGTGAGAAACAGGCGGACAAATAAGATGGCGAGACGCGGATAGCAGAGGCGAAACGGAGAAAAGAAAACGGGGCGATAGAGTGGAGGAGAACGTTAGAAGCGTTAAATAACGATTAGCCGGCGGAGTTAGCGTTTAATCTCCGTTGACTGGCGGAGATATACAAAGAGACGAGAACGAGACCGAGTGGAGGAATTCCCGATAAAACGATTTGCATTTCCTGTTGGATCAGCGTCCGTTTCGTTTTACGTGCTGTTTAAATATTATTCCGGGCGTAGTATAGGCGTCTTTCGTGGCCCGGGCCACGGCGTATTATCTCTTCCCCCTCTCTCTCCCGTTCCCACGATTTCCAAAGGTGTTTTATCTATATTTATCCTGGCCGCTTCAGGTTCCTCAACCTTGCCTTTTCGCTCTCGAATCGTTAATTTCCAGTCCGACCGCTGCTACCGCTTTTACCCTGCCTCGGTGTTTGAACTGAAACGACAATTACAGCCGATCGTAAAACAGGTCCGCGTGAGCGCGAGCCTGTTCCTCCGTTGTGTTCGACTATTCCCGTTGAACATGGGAGACACGTCGCGCGATACTTGTACGAGCATTGTACGAGCTAGTCGTAATAAACGTACGAGCGTTATTCGAACTTTCCAGACGCGTCTAACTTTTTCAAACTTCGCAACGTTTCAGAGGATTTTTATAGATCCTCGCTGCCCGTCTTTCGTGAAATATTCAGAATATCCAATATATATCCAATGTAATATATCCAATGTAGAATATCTTTCGTGATAATTATGAATTATTCTGTTTGGGTTTCAATTCTCTCTATCATGTTCATGATAATATAAAACTTAATTCAACATCGAGGTCGCAATCATTTTTTTCTACAAGATCTGTGAAAAAATATAACGCTGTTATCCCTAAGGTAATTTAATCTAATAATGATAAATTAAGTATCAAAATATTTTCTTAAATTTAAAGTTTTTGTTAATTAAAATTTATTAAATTTAATAATTCTCCCAATTAAATATTAAATTAATTATAAAATTAAATTAATATAGAATTTTATAAGGTCTTATCGTCCCTAATTTTAAACAAATTTTAACATTTTTACTAAAATTTTAAATTTATAAAATAAATATGAGACAGTATATATTTCATTAATCCTTTCATTCTAGACATTTCATTTAAAAATCAATTGATTATGCTACCTTTGTACAGTCAGTTATACTTCAGCCATTTAATTTATTCACTGGGCAGATTGACTTAAAATTATTTTCAATAAGACATGTTTTTGATTAACAGGTGAATATATTTATTTTTCCTAGTTCCTTATATTTATATTTTATAGGTAAAATATAATTTACATAAATGTTTTAACATATTGACAGAATATTAAATAATTAATTATATTAAATATATTAAATATTTTAGAATATTCTAAATATATTAATAGAATGTAAAATATTTAATTACATTAAACAGAATGTTTTATTATATGAAAATAGAATATTTTAATTAATATATTAAATATAGAATTATTGAATTTATTAATAATATTAATAGAATATAAATGTATGTATTTAGAGTATCCAAAGTAGAATACCTTTCATGATAATTTTGAATAAGCGAAATACTCTGGTTGGGTTTCAGTTCTCTAGGCATGTTCATGATAATACAGAACTTCTCGAATGTGTCGAACTTTTCAAACGTTTGAAAGAATTCTTATAGTTCGTCTCTCATGAAATATTTAGAATGTTGAATATGCGTTATTCTGAATACGATATTGAACGATACAAATAAGAAAATATTCTCAACAATTCTGACACTATGTGAGTGTTAAACAAGGCTCGTTTGGTATTAGGACGTAGAATTTTTCAAGGAAACAACGAACGCCGTTTTAATCGTGTTATTAGCTGGAAATTATACACGTTATTTCGATTATTCGAACAACGTCCATCAACTTTCGAAGTCGGCCGAATAACTACGAGAGGCGGTGTACGTAAATCCAATATATTGCGGTGGTAAACTTGAGGCAGCCTGATAGTAATTACAGACCCTAAACCACTAGTTAAAATATTTGAACTTTCGCATTCAAGATAGTTCGGCGGTAATTATAAATCTGAATTTTAGATAGTTCAACGTAACGGGACACAGCCCGTAAACGAAAAGTTTCTTACGAAACTATTGATTCCAGTAAAGACAAAACCTCCGTAAACGTGTGACTTTGAAATATTCACAGATGACAAACCTCGTAACGTGACGCCATAAACTAGACTCTGGAGGATTGAAATTAACGAACAAAAATATTCGAAGAAAAAAATTGCAATTACTCATTAATGCAGGATCAGTAATCGTAAAATCGTGTCCTCCCCCCTTGGAAGTCTGTAATTTACTTAACTATTTGAATATTTTGTCGCAGAAAAGTGCAGACCATCTGTCTTCTGTTTCTTTTTTACCTTTCTTTCGCTGCAACAGCTGGTACCAGTGTCTATAACTTTGACCTCTCTTTTTCTTGCATAGTTACACTGTGTTGTTTTTTTTTTTCAATAATCACACTGCTATCTTCTGCAACCTTCGCAAGATGCGTTGTTCTTATCCTAGCATCTTACTTTTATTTGCTGTTTTCTCTTTTTCTCTATCATTCGTACAAGTACAATTTTCACTTTCCATCATATTCTCTTTCTACGAAACTTTTGACACTTCTGTAGAACGTGCACGTGTTAAGATAGCGTTCGAAAGCGCTGAACATTGTAAAACTCCGCAGTCGCTTAATTTAATTTAATTAACACTGTAACAATGTCACTTCCTACCAAAATAAATCCGTAAAATATATATGTTTTCAATTTGGAAGAAATAGTTTTCGAAACACAACGAAGACATCGTGTTCATTTGAACATGAATTTAATTTAATGTTGAATAAAATTAATAGTTTTCTCTCATGTTTTATTCTAAAAAAAAACAATAGGTGGGAAGAAACTTTTGGCCCATCCTAGTCACAGGATTATAGTTACACAGGAGGGGACGAGCTTTCATTAATTTTAATTCGAACGAAAGCTTCGATAAAGAAGAAGGAGAGGAACGTTTCTGATCGCCGGCTAACCAGACGAAACTCGTCCGGTAACACATCCGCATGGGATAATTTCTTTTCGGGCAAGAGAATATCACGTTACTCTATCTGGACGAAAATCAGGACCTTTCACGTTGCGCATGGATAGATCTCGCTCCTCGGGGAAGCCTCCGAGGGAGAAACCCTTATCCTGACACCCGATCGCCGAGGAAGTTCGCTACCAACATCTGAACCACAAAGCCACCCGCGTAAATTATGCCTGGAAGTTTCGGTCGTAATTTTATGCATGTTAACGTCGCGGAAGACATTCTCGATGGGGGAGGGGGAAAAAAAAATGCCACTGCTCGCCGAATGGGGGTGGGAGGGACAACAAACAGCTTTCCTTTTGGATTTTACGGTTCTCTTCGTCTCTATTTCTCGCCTCGTTTCCTTTCTCGCTTTCGTTTCTTGCGCCTGGACAGGTCCTCCCGAAGAAAAAAGAGAGAGAGAGAGAGACATTGCGCGGAGTTGAATTGCTTCGAGATTTGCGTCGATGGTGGGGGAACGTCTGTTAATGGTCGTTAGGTGTCAGACGACTCAATTACGCGGTAATCGAATAGCAAAATTTACTTTGGTGTTGGTGGCCGTGCACTTTGCGGAATATTCTTGCTGAAACGAGACCTCTGACTACCTGAGAGTAGAATACCGAGAGAGGGTAGAGTTCTACCCTTTGAGTTCGCTGTACTTCCCTCCTATGTGGAAAACGTGGACCGTTTTCGAATGAATATCGGGCAAGATGTTGTTTCGTTCGCGTCTCGACTGTTGCTTTTGAATCAAGGAAATTTCTTGCTAACTGACGTGTGGAGATCGTATCTTCGAAACTATTCTTTCGTTGTGTCGCCCGGTATCGCGATAGATTCGTATCGCAATCTTATGTCACACGGATTTGTATCACGTTTCAATTCCACGCTGAGGCAACTGAATTTCTCCGAGGTGAATTCTTATCTTCATCCAGAGCGTCCAAACGGTGTAATTTTAATTTACAATGGCAAGTATGCCACACTCGAGTAATTAGCGTGAATATTGTACGCTCGTTGATGAATAAATGTTTCAGAATTTTTGGAGTGTTTAGAATTTTTCTCAGACCACTTTGATCACTTGCGCTGGCAACTGATTGCGGACCATAACGAGTGACCGAACCCGTGTACAATAATTCGTCGGGTTCTTTTTGAACTCGTCGGTACATCATTGGATAGAAATGATTAATAAGCAACAAATTTATTATTTAGTTTTGCCTGAGATTATATTTAAATATACTTAAAATATACTTAAAACTTAAATTTATTTAAATATATATTAATTTAAATTATATATTATTTACATATATAATATATGTTATATATAAATAACTTAAATTAAATATATATTAACTTAAATGTATTTAAATATACTTAAAACTGAGAAAATATTGCAATTTTGGGGATTGGAAAAAAGAGGTTAACCACTTGCGCTGGTAAACTGATTGCGGACCACAACGAGTGACCAAAACCGTATAAAACAATTCGTCGCTTTCTTTTTGATTCGTCGGTACGATATTATCGAGAAGTAACAAATTTATTATTTGCTTTGCCTATTTCGTTTTACTTGAATATACTCGAAATTGGAAAAATATTGCAATTTTGCAACAAAATATTCTCGACGCGCCTGATTCCAGCGTAAGAAGTTAAAATGCTTCGAGTAATAAAATAATTATCTTTCTGTGCACGTGTAAATAATATTTGCTCGTCCAAAATATTAACGCCGGAAAAGAAAAAAATAGAGAAGAAAGACAATCATTTGTAACTCGTGTAACTTCGGGATTGGAGCTGGGAAAGTTAGTTATAGAGAAATTAGCAAAACGAATATCTATCGCTGTCGTGTTTACGTAGAATTTTCCACTAAAACGATCTAAAATGTTATTTCTGCGCGTACGTTCTCGTATCGGGGCGTGCGCGTCGCTTTTATTAGGACCCATCCCTTCCGGTGTCCTCGCAGCGTATGGATAACGAAGTTTACATAACCTAGAATCCGAACTTGAAATGGATTAAGACATTAAGATTCTGTTTGAAGCGGATCATAGAGGACGGGTTGCGGAACGGGTGCACGCTCGCGCGCCATTGGGATTACCATTTAGCTTCTATCTGGCTGGCAAAGGAAATGTCACAATAGGCGATAATCGAAGGACAAAGCGCGGGAAATCGCGAGCGATATCAGCCATAATCTCAGCCTCTCTGTCTCTGTTAAATTTGGACGATTTGTTACCGTAATATTAAACGTATCGATCAGATTTCGTCAATTGTTCGTTCGTGCGTTTTTCGTTTAGATTCGGAGATTGTTACCATTCATTTGTTCGTATTTCCCCCTAACATGATTATTATTGCTATCATTATGTGAAAAGTATTTGCAAAATATAAATATATAAAGAATATATCGATCGTGATGTAAACATTTTTTGACTTTCTCGTTTTCCTAAATAATAAATTGAACGGACAAGCATCTTTTATGAGGAACGAATGATCGTTACGAAGTCCTTCTGAAATATTTTATGCAGTAAAAAATTGCCTGGAACAGCTTCACCTTCTCGAAATTGACTCGACAATTTTTGTCGTGGCGAAATTTAAATTTGTATAATAAAATCGGTATATTTAAATTTGTATAACATAATATGTATATTCATGACGAGATTCAACCACGAGATTCTGTTATTTTTATCACAAATCTTTTCAACATCCGACGTGAATTATAAACGATTGCAAACAGATGCAACTGAATAATTGAACCGCAATCAAGTAATTAAATAAACAAAAAACGACGCCACAAAATAATTTTCCATTTTTTTGCAAGCTTACTATTAGAATCCATATCACCTTCCTGTCACGAACGACCGTATATACAGAAATATGTCGTTTGTTTCTCAACCGAGTGTTCGCGCGATGGAATTAGGAAATCCAAAAAANAAAAAAACAGAAAAATGGAAAATTTAACTTTTGTAAATATTTTTCTTTTTTTTTTTTTTAATTGCTCATATCGTGCACAGAACGAAAGGTGCGCAACAATATAAACGATATAAAAGAAATAAAAGATGGAAAAATCATGTTTGCAAGGACATGCTCGTCACGTGCAAATTACGCGTCAAGAAGGAATCGTAGAAGCAGGTTTGGAAAGTCTTGCAACTAAAGTCGATGCAGTTCGAGGTCGTAAGAAAGTTGTCGAGCCGACGAAAGCAGGTTCAGCCACGCTAAAGTACGCCGATTTCATCTAATTAGCGTCGATGTTGG